GTACGTTCTTTTTCACATCACTATATTTGGAAATTATCCTTTAAGGATTTTTTGGACATATTTTACCTAGCAATCAGTATAAATACAAGAGTCAGCAACTCTGTTGATCTCTTGTTACTACAAAAATAATGAATAATCCTTTTTCAGATGTTCAAACTGCACCTGTATAAGTTGCTTCATTATTCTTGTGGATACACACATATAATACTCAACATTAATCATCATAAACTCTAGATTCAGAAACAATGTGGGCAACATGCAATCTAGTAACAATAAGTCACTTCATACTTACTGTTGAGCTCAATACAAGAGAATTCAGAGGGTTATAGGTCTAATTTTTTTCAGGACCTTCTCTTTAAAAGAGAGGCCCATGTGTTGACAACATGACCAGATGATAAGTGGCTAAACCCATAGAACTGATTATTGCTAAAAACAGCATCTCACATGGATCTCTCAGCAAGTTAGTCCCATCTAAGCTTAATATTTTCATGCTCAAATGATGGGCACTGGACATCTGTTTTGAAGTCGCCAAAATGCTTTCTGGTGTGATTTGTTACCAGACAGCAGGAATACATTAATATCACCCCTTGGACACCTTTATGTTTTATATATTTTCCTACTCTGGCCAGAGAGTTAATCAACATCGTGACTGGCATTCACCTTTAAATGTACTGTACTGTATAAGACTAACGTTTAGCTCAGATAATATTGTTCTTTTGTGAATGAGAGAGTTTGCCGCATTGCGATCAGTGTATTGTGATTAAAGTGACTCAAATCAAAAGACATTTTCCAGAAGAATCATCAAAAGCAAACCTGGCACAGGGAACACTGGCTCAAATTACTTTATTTGTCATTCCTTCCGCTGAAGTGACACAAATAAGCAGCGAGGTTGTCATTAAGCTTTAATTCCATTAAAAGATATTGTTCCGCAAATGCCCAGGTTTTTTTTTGGCAGTCATCCCAGCCAGGTTAGCCAGGAGGCCAGCCCATCTGCCGTCCTCCAATAACGTGGATGTGAATGTGATACACAGTCTGCCCCCCGTCGGGCCCCTCATTCACGACCAGCCGGTAGCCCTTCTGAAGGCCCACTTCAGCTGCACATTTCCTTGCCACGATCATCAGGTGTCCAAGAAGCTGAAAAGACAGAGGTGAACTTAGAGAAATAACAGAACACGGATATTAAAACCTGCAGCTTATGTAAATCATGGAACCTGGCGATGACCAATAGTATTTAAAAAACCATACACGATAAAAGTTAATATATTTACTACTTTTGCATATAATAAAATGAAGACTACTGTTCGTAGAGCACTTAAATCACCAGTCTTAAATTATGAAAGCTTTAAAATACTGCATATATTTGAAAATGTTTAGTTTCCTGCACTAAAAGGATCTTTTACCCTGACAAAAACCAGATAGGTCCCCTAAAGTCCTGAATTATAGTGTTTGGTGTGAGCTCGGAAACAGCATGATGTGCTGTGTGAACTGCCTATTCCTGTTCAAAGCTTTGAAATTTATTACAGTGCGGGACAACCTCACTAGATGGTCTAGAGATGGCACATATCTTTTATAACTTTTTCTGAATGGATATTTCTGTTCTAAAGCAGTATTATAGGTATGGTTGGAACAGCAAAATCCCACCTTACTATTTTTAAGAAAATGCAAGGAAATGGGTGCATGATTTGTCTTACTTTGCATGTACTGTACATTCATGCATCTATCCATTTTCTAACCGCTTTACCCTGTACGAGGTACCGGGGCAGCCACAGCCTATCCTGGCAAGCAATGGGCACAATGCAGGATAAACTCTGGACAGGATGCCAGTCCATCACTGGGCACACACAGACAAACACACTCACAACAGAGCCAGTTTTCCCAGGAGCTAATTAACCTACCAGTTCAGTATGTCTTTGGATTGTGGAAGGAAACCAGAGCACCCAGAGGAAACCCATGTGAACACGGGGAGAACATACAAACTCCACACAGATAGCACCCCAGGTCCAGAATTGAACCCGAGGCAGCAATGCTAACCAGTGGACCACCATGCTGCCAATGAACTAATTTCTTTAATAATTCAACCAAATGAGCTTAACAGAATCCTTTGCTCAGATCTTTTAGCCAAACAGTTTTGAGAGGTGCACCTGAGTCAGCACATACTGTATACCATCAATTTGCTGTTACCTGAACCGAACATATTTTTTTAAAGATTAGGTACCACCTTATTCACAACACGATGTTAGATTTACACCTGCCCTTAGACTCCTGTAATCTTTACATCATTACCCCATGTGAAGTTTATTGAAAGCAAAAGACTACGGCGACACCGGGTTCTTTGAAGGACAAATCTTGTTTGCCGTGGGAAAGATTTGTTGATTAGTAAGACCTCAGGAAACCTCTGTGTGAAAGAGAGGGAGTAACATCAGTATCGTGCGAATATTTTAAGAAGTCTCTGAAATAGTTCAGAACAAGACTTTCTGTGAAAAGAGCTTAAGACCTCCAAATCCCACATTCACTCATACATACATTATTAACTTAATCTCATGACTTCTATTCTTATGTTCTGAAAGGAAGTTTATTTTCAATTTCAGTACATGCATTATTTATGCCTGCTGTATGTCCTTAAATCTTTTAAACAGTTACACCATATACAGTTCTGGAAATAATTGTGAAAAGATGACAAAAATGTATATAACACTCATTAGAGAAAATCTGCAGAGAAATTAATACAGTTAGGAATATCGATATGTGAGCCTTTCTCTTTACACAGAGCTTGAAATCTTGTTTTCATGCTCCCTTGCATATTACAAATCAAGGGATGCCATTTTTCCCCCATTACTGCGCTTTGTCTGGTTACCATTCAGCTTTCATTGCAGTGATGTCAGCCCATAAAGCTTCTGTTATGTTCAGATCAGGACCATGTGAAGAACACAACTTCTGAGTGTTCTGTCAGCCTCGTTACATTCCAAAGAGGTTTTCAACGCACTGACTGCAAGCTGGGGAGGTCACTTTTATTTTGATAGGTGGATTCCTGCCCAATGAGACGCCATCGTATGATGGATCAGAGTCCGGCTGCATCAGCTGGAGGTTGACCGTCTTGGCTGAGAAAAGACCCTACACTTCTCATGATCCACCCCTGTGCTTTAGCCATAACTGTTGCACATTGAGTGTTGCAGTGCTCTCCAGACTGCTCAGAAAACAAAATGCCGTGGATTACTGCCCAACATCTCAAACTTGGATTCATCTGTAAAGAACATTTTGTTCCAGATTTGGTCATTGCAGTGTCATTTCTATTACTCATTGCAAAAATGTTTTTTTTTTGTTGCCTTTCCTCTGACAACTTTTCCAAGAAGCAACACACTACTGAAACCGTTTTGTGCTGATGCATATCTTACTATTCTTGAAGGAAGATGTATTTCAGTCATCTGCAGGATCTTTAATAGACAAACGTAATTTTCTAGGAATAATTTTACATTACTTTTGGATAGTTTGGGTTTTCATCAGCAACAATCTATTGTGGTAGAACCTGTACTAGTTTCATGACCCCTCTTCAGAACTTTGCAGATTAAAATCACTGGAAGACATGAAATCGAGCTGCAATCTCTTAATACAAGTAGTCATATTCAGCTAAAGCTTGTGATACGCTTCCCATAAGCCATATAGTTCACACGTTTTCAAATGTCACTGCTTCTGTGTCTATGGGCCTTCTACTAGTTGAACACAATTAAGAGTGTCAGTCAAAACATCATCATGTATCCACATTAACATGTATAGTATACTTTATCTTATGTATCTATTTTGTCCAGTTTGTTTCAAATATTCACAACACATTAAATTGCTTTTCCCCCTAAACTCTCCAGGCTCAGTTCTACTTTAGTGTTAACTCAAAGCTGTGTATAAAACTCCAGAGTCATATAAAATGAGAAAAAAATATATACTCTCCACGAGAACAGCCTCAGTCAACTCAAACACATTTTCCATTTTGAAGTTCTAGAACAGGGATAAAGATCTTAAAGGTTTTACAAATACCAACACTCTAATACACTTCCCCTAGGATAACATCTAGTCATTTGCTACCTTTCTCTCATACATCAAATATTTTCCTTTCAAACACACAATCCAGGCTCGTGTAGCACAAAAAAAAACATCCACTTATACAACTAGACTTCTTAAACAATTGAATATTCAGAAACTATTTGTGAATTTGCACTCTTAATTTTCCTTCTCTCATATAACTATCAATAAAACAATTATGTTTTAAATAGATTAACAATTATGGTTTGAATAGATGTCTGTATGGAAATATTTAGCAATCTAAAGGTTTCAAGACCTTTGTTAACAGAGAAGATGAATCTGGGGGTCCCAACAAAACCACCACAAAACTTTGTGGGGGGGGGGAAAAATAGATTCCATTACAGTTGCCAACTCAGAGATAGAAATGCATGTTTTGCTCCTAAAATAATTAAACTGCAAAGGTTGTATGATCGCAGGTAACACTAGTTTTTCTATGTTCAGAGACATCAGTATTTAAGATCATACACTGCAATTTCTGTAAATGGGGATTCATGCTTTAGTAAACAGCAGCCCCTGCTGGCAGCCCAAATCTACTGAGCGACTGCACATATTAGACTGATGGCCACCTTTTCTAAGATACAAGTTAAACTAAAAATGAAATTTAATTGACTCACACCACTACAAAGAACTAGGTTAAATGCTAATCATCGAAGAACCTTATTTAAAACAGCCCTGAAACCATAATATACTGTATTACAGCTAGGCCATTTGCACAAAGTTTTACACTAGGATGAGAACACTTCCAAAACATGCTTATAATACCCGCTTACAATGAATACTGTTCCCCTATAAGTCATTTCCAAGTCTCATTCAGTTGTTTTCAGAAATTGTAATTACAGTACCAACCATGTGGACTTATGAGTAATATCACACACACACACCTCTCTTTATGAAAGAACAGGTTGCTTCTCAAGACAAATACACATAGCCAGAGCTTAGGAACTTTTATTTGACAGGTTATCAGTAAACAGACTGAAGAAGTAGCACTGAGGCATCAGATATTAATGCTCTTAACAGAAGCGATTCCGATGTCAGACATGGCTGCTGTTTGTGTGGTACACAAACACAGGTCAGTCTCGTTACTGATGTTAGCCAGGGGGCCAGCGCATCTGCCTCTGTCCGAGCACGTGGATGTGAAGATGGAACACTTCCTGTCCCCCATCAGGCCCGTCATTCAGAACCAAGCGATACCCTTTGGTTAGGCCCACATCAGCAGCACACTTCTTCGCCACAATCATTAAATGTCCAAGAAGCTAAAAAACACAAAAGGGCGCTAATATTGAAAGAACAGCCAAACCGCCTTGGCCTTTTCCTAATTCAAAACACAACACAGGAAGGGGATCAGGTTGTTTCATGCATCCTTTCAATTTCAGAGAAACTCCCAGGATTTGTTTTTGTTAAGAATGGGAGTCACTAAAACAAGTGTCTTTCGGCTTTGTTTCCCTTATCTATCCTCTTTGTCAATTTTGAATTCGTTATGACTTGTTATATAAAGTACTAGCAAATTTTACATCCTCCTCAGGTATGCTGTCCATCAGTAATTTTCTCTGTTTGGATTTTTAACTAACAAAAGAGCCTTCCGAATGGGGGAAACAGGTCATCTGTAATCTTGAACACTTTAAATTGCTTTAAAAGTTAGTTTTTCTTCCACCAAGTACATAACAGACAAACTGAATACATGCTTAAGTCCAGTTTAAATTAAAAAAACAGAAGAAAATCCAAAACTTTGAAAAGTAGCTACATTATCTATGGGAGCAGATTTAATCTTTAGTGGCATGCATAAACAGTAGACAGCAGTACAGGAAGCAGTTCTTAGAACTAATTTAAGCAATAATTATTAAGCCAATTGTTAATGTGGAAAAAGTAAATTAAAACTTTTTTACTTTTTTGTACTGTATTATATTTTCTTCTATTTTTGTATTTACTTAACCTATATGTTTTGTAAGTCACCCCGGAGCTTAAGAGCTTCTACTAAGCAAATAATATATTCAAAAAGCACAAAAAGACCCTCGTTTAGCTCTAGAAATAAAATGACAGAAATAATTTACCTAATTAAAAAAATGTGTAGACAAAAAAACAGATTTACATTCTGCAAATATGTAAAAATCAATCTGACTAATTCTTGGATACAACAGTCATAGTTTGGATAGTCATGTTTTCCTTCATAGTTCCAATGTTTTTAGATAAGAAATAATTAATATATCATCCTTTCAAAAAGACATCCATTCATCCACTTGACACAGCAGTTGCATATTGCCATATTGTTTGGTCCATTAAACTTGTGAGACAAGGACCTACTACGAACAAGGAACTCGATTCATGACTTATTGACTATATCAATTTTAACAAGTAAACACAATGCGTTTCCACCCTAACACCACAGTGCCTTTATCCAAATGAAATCTCCTAGTGTGAGAAATACTGCTGCCTTATATGAACTTTGACATTTAACTATCAAAATTTAACCAAAATTCTAACCGATTTACAGATTACCCCAAAAAAATCTCCAGTTTTTTTACACTGAATGGATTCAATTGCTGCATAGGAAAGCAGCGGCATGACTAAGACATACTAATTACATATTCTATTTACCTCCATTATCAGATATAACAGATATAATGCAGCACCAGTTTCTATGACTTGATAAATACTGACAGGTAAGTTCTTCACAGCTAAATTTTAGAAATTTAAATAATTATTTTAATTTAGATTCTAATTTAGGAACTCGTCTAACTGTTGATATAATGTATTATGGCAGCAGCATTAATTCATTAATAACAAAATTTTGCTTAAACGGAAAAAAACTTATTAGGCAGTTTTTCACCATGCAACATGACAATGATCCCAAACAGCCCAAATGTAATCAAAAACAAAAAAGCAGAAAATCTGAGACTAGCCAAGTAAATCTACAGATTTAAAGCCAACATTGCATGCATTTTACATGCTGAAGAAAAATGTGGCCATGCAAAAAAAAAGGCAAGAATTCACAGGTACAGCAAAGCATCTCAAAGATTCAATGGTTTTCAAACTTTATGAAGTGCAAATGTATTTAAAATGAATGTGCCCCAATATTTATGGTGACTTGAAATAATTGGGCTGAATACAAAGCAGGTTTATCATCTGTTTTCAAAATGTATATATAATCAGTGATTCTAAGCTCCAGGAAGCTAGACAATAGGTATTTGGCCTTTATTTTCTTCACTATGAAGATGAATCTCACCTAGGGCTGGGCGATATGGCCAAAAACATTATCACGATAAACATTTTCATATCAGTCGATATCGATTATTATAACGATAAATGTCAAATCTTTATTTCTTTCAAGTTTAAAGGCAGATTTTTTCTCCTGAGTGAAAGCTGAAGAAACCAGACAGTTAATTGGTAAATTAAACAACTCTTTATTTTAAGAACACAACAAACACTTGCCAAACAGCAGAACAATTAAACAAATCTGAGGTAGAGAGTATTCAAGTCTTTTTTATGTCAAAATATGCATGAGTATAATTTACAAAATAAATATCTTAATAGAAAAATTTAATACTGCAGTGTGATAAAACACACAAGGAAGATGGCTCAGACAGACTGCAAAGTTTAAAGTGCTCTGTTTTATGTCTGATCGTAAAAAGTCAAAATATCTCCAAATTACCGAAATTGAATGACCTTTTCTGTCGACGATGTCATCGTCCTTTGAGCTGGTCGTTGGCAGCACTACATTTGCTTCAGTGTCGCTTGTTTCTCCACTCTAACTAAACAACACCATGTTGGCTGCCTGGTCTGCAACACACACGTGCACTCGTGCAGTATTTTGTGCGCATGCGCATATCATGCGCAAAGCTTAAACATATATATCGAACATTTATCAAACTTTTGTTCAAAGTATATTGAGGAAAATTATATCGGGATAGTTATCGTTATCGAATTATCACCCAGCACTAATCTCACCCATCTAGAACACAGAAAGTTGTTCTTAATTTGTTTAGCTACTCAGCTATCAAGTAGGCAAGATGGAGGAGGATCTTCTCTTATCTGCAGCAGCTCCTACTGTATGTAGTTACAACACATGATGAATATTTTCTATTATGTACATTGCCGGCCATATTTTCTCATATCCTCCATGAAATAGGAATAGAAAACATGATATAAAAAAGACGTACAGATCAGACTTTGTGCTTTGCTTTAAAAAGCCTAAAAATGTTACATGGCAATCTTATAAGGGAACTGCAGTCCCACTTTTACAGACCAGTTATTAAATCTCAGTAACAAAAAAAAAGAATCACTGACAGCATAGAAAAATGAACAAATTTCAAATTAAGCAAAAAATTGTGAACTTTGTGAAAGTACTGTAAGCTGCCTTGTTGCCGCAGAGCCCTGGTCTAGCCACGGGTGAGAGTTCCCAAGAATTGTGACGTGAAGCGGGCTTTCCTGCTCACTAGTCACTGTCATAACTAATGTAATGCAATGTACGAGCGAATAAGTACGGGTTGTGCAGTAGATATTTCACCACAAAATGTTCCAGTGTGATCTGCATGCAGAGTTAACAAGTAAGCTCCACTTATCAGGAAAACCGTCTTGAAATGTATTCACAAGCCTGCTTCTTTACAATGTAATACAGTTGCTTCACCTCACCAGATGTTTTGTGCCTCGTCCTGAGTAACAGAATATAGTGCTATGCATACCTGGAAATTTCTTTTGTAAATTTTTACAAGTTACTGCGTACAGTTTACTTTTATAGATTTTTAAGTGCACTCAACAATGCTGATTCTTTTTAATCCCAAAATACAAAAATCTCATATTTGTCATAAAGAATTGAAATTAAGAAAACACGAGC